CTTCTGCGCTGCTGCTGGTGGCGGCGCTGCCTTCAGAGCTGGGCTCCCGGCCAGCAGCCGCCACTGCCCAGCTCTGAAGGCAGAGCCACCGCCAGCAGCAGCGCAGAAGTAAGGGCAGCAGTACCGCAACCCCCCCGCCCCATTACCTTGCGACCCCTCCCCCCAACTCCTTTACTGGTCAGGATCCCTCAAATTACAACACCCTGAAATTTCAGATTTAAATAGCTGAAATCATGAAATTTACGATTTTTAAAATCCTATGACTGTGAAATTGACCAAAAGAGACCGTGAATTTGATAGGGCCCTAGCCGTGACCCATATTGAGGGTATGTCTTCACTGCAGAATTGGTCTGGATTCTTACCTGGGTGTTCCTCCTAACCCCCAACCCAGCCACACACACAACCCTCTGACCTGAGTTTGGTGCTACTTTCAACCTGAGCTCACTGGCCTGGCTGAGAGGGGGTGAGATAGATCTCTCTAGTGTAGATGCAGGCTAAACCCCTTGCATGCTGATAGTCCTCCAACGCCTTCCCACAATTCCCCCCTGTGTGGCCGGAAGGATGGACAAGTTCTTCCACAATTTGCTGGGAAAGAATCCTGGAGCATCTCAGCTCTCTGCAACACAAAGAATCATGGGACGTCCTAGCGACCCAGAAGTCCTAGCGACAGACACGGGGGGAACACAGAACCAGTGAGGACACAATAATTCAGGCAGGGCTTTGTAGCAAGGAGGCTCAAAACCCATGACCCCAATCACTCCTTGTACCTACTGCATCCCAGGAGGGGCAGGTCTAAACTGGGGGTGCAGAGGAGGTGATAAATATGCAGACACATGCGGATGCTCAAATTGTCCTGCAGCCACTGAATGTAGCGCCCTTGGGTTTCCCGCGAGGAGGGAGATTTGTGGTGACCTGCCTGTTCGCAGCCCTCCCCTCCACAAAGACACCAACGTGACCCGCAGTTACAGAGACTGTTGATCTCCTGCCGCTGAGGCCTTGTCTAGGCCAGAGGATAGACCCCGTCCGTCGGCTGCATTAATGCTGCTCCCAAAGAGACATGCCGGGGTCTGGGCTAATCGAGGGTCACTCCCACAGCCGGGCGGGTGAAGGAGCCTAGGGCAGGGTAAGGCGGTGTTGTTACAGCTAGGGGAGAGTGAGCTGGATTCTGTTCTGCCTCCCGCATCATTCACAGAACAGGTGTCTCCGGTTCTAATTTGCAGAACTTTTCCTGCTGGCGATACTGACCGGGAGCAGGAAGTAATACCCATCGCCTGAGGGTGCCTTTCTTATCACTTAACTGCCTTGAGAGCCTAACTTGGAAGATACAGTAAAGAGAAAGGCAAAGTATTTATTATAAATAATAGAAAAACTCGGAGAGGCTGGGTGGCCTTGTGGCTAAAGGCAGTAGCCTGGGATTCAGGAGATCTAGGTTCTATCCTTAGCTGTGCCACAGACTCCCTGTGGGACCGTGGGCAAGTCACTTAAGGTACGTCTAGACCTCAATCAGTGGCTATGATTGCAGCTTGAGCTGACGTACCCCAGCTAGCTCCAGTCCTAGAACAGTGAAGCTGTGGTAGCCAGAAACTGCTGTCTAGAGACACCTTTAATCTCCCTGGGCCTCAATTCCCCATCTGTAAAATGGGATTATATATTTATTTTGATAATGTTACTTCCTTTGTCTCGTCTATATAAGCTCTTCAGGGCAGGGACTGTCTCCTACTGTGCGTCAGTGCAGTGCCTAACACCGTCTCCGCTGCGGTTTCTACGCTGTCCTATCACAGTAATAATGATAAGAATGCAAAGAGCAGAGGTGGCATTTCAGATCTCGTGGGGCTGGTAGGAAAATTCTCTCTCGCAAATGCAGCTGGAAGCTAGCGAGAGGGGATAAACGGGACCTTTCTTTTTTGATAGCATCACTTTCGTGAGCGCACCTGAAAAGTCTGGGCTATCGAACCAGCAGCCAGGTAAGCCCAGGGGCTCCAGCAGCAGCAGATGGAGTATGGACTCCTCATGTGAGCTTTTCAAATAACACCAGGGGCCGGGCCTCTTTTTTTCTTTCTTTTTTTCCCTCTTCATTCTGATTCACCGCCTCTGCACTGAAGGCAGGTCACTGTCTGGGACGTTTTTGCTTTTAGCACCATGACCCCACATTGACCTGTGAGTCAACAGTCTCTGGGTAGGAGCATTTAAGTGCAGAATCAAAGGAAAGGAATGTCTGAGCAGGCCTTTATGATGGTCCCTCTGCAACTTACAAATTTCATGCAGTGGCCAGGAATCATTAAAGCCACTTCTTGGTCTAAGCCTTCCCAGGTGTGTAGATCATCAAGACCTACAGAAATGGAAGCAGTCGTCGTCTAATCCAATTTCTGTACTTAGCTAATAAGGCATCAGATTATTATTATCATTATTGTATAA